ATTTTAATTAAGTATTTACTTAGATAAATATTAATGTTTAGACTTTTAAACTATATAAGAGACAGGTTTCTTATTCGTTCAATTGCTGGAAAAAAGCACGACGAATCAACAATTGTGAACATTGGTATCTCACTGCAATGGGAATCCAAATCCATGGATGTGTGAAAACTCATAATACACGTCATCGGTCGTATGTGGAAATCAACTTTTGAATGGTTTAATTAATGAGAGTGCAACATATGATGTGATGTGGGAAACAAAGGGGAATGTATTAATTTTTTTTGTTTTTTGAACATTTTGTTATCGAACCAATTCAAACCGTTATTCTTGAAAAGGAGAAAATGATCCTTACAAAAGTGATTAAAATCACTTGACTTTGACCAAGTCAAAGGAATGTATTAATTAGAAGTTGAAAATATACAAGTATATATATAACAAATATGATGGCAAATGGCAAAACTCCAAAATTTACCTCTCAAATAGGGCAGAATAGATCCATCCAAAAAAAAAAAAAAGAAGAAGGATAAATTTCACTTTTAAATCTTTAATTAAGATAAATGATTTATTATTTAATAACTTATGTCTAATAATAGCTAACATCATTACACTAGCACATGAATTTTTAGTTAAAAATATGCCTAGATAACAAATAAATTCTTGATGTGTGACATCAATAATTATTAAATAATGAATTATTTATCTTGAACAACGCTTTAAATGCACAATTTATTCTTAATTTTTTTAAGGAACAGATCTATCCTATTTGGGGGGAGGGATTTGAGTGTCCAGCCATGACAAATTAGTAGCCTGGTTAATTATTGAGTAGAAGTTATGGGACTATCGATGATATCCCTTGCAAAGGGAAAGGCGGAACGGGTGGATGACTCCATCTCTATACTAAATTACTAATATATAATAATTAAACAAAATCTAATCACCTTTTATTTATTCAAAACTTAATTTAAAATTTAAAAAATTATGTTATTAAATATTAATATTTAAATTTAAAAA